TAATCAAGTTACAAAAAATTCTGCTAAAAAAATAAATAAAAAAGATTCAGCCTGAGTCGACAGCATAACGGGCAAGACACGTGAAAAGATTTTAGAGGTAGTGGGCGGATGCGGCGTAGCTAAGGGCTGGGGCAGCGGCCAATTTGGCAATAGGAGCTGCATGTGTAGTGTATGCGAGGGGGGCTGCGTGTGCGGCATACGCGAGAGGGGCAGGGTGCGCGGAATAGGCGACTGGAGCGGCATGCGCAACAGCGAGTGTTGGGGCGGCAACCTTAGCAACTGGAGCGGCATATGCGAGAGAAGTATGGGCTACGGGCGCGAGTTTGGCGATTGGCGCGCTGATCACTGGAGCGGATGCTGCGTAGCTAAGAGGAAGAGCGTGAGTGACAGGGGCGGCAGCAATGGTTTTCACGGCAACCGGTGCTGCGGCTACTGGGGCTGCGGCAATTGGAGCTGCGGCAACAGCTTTCACAGCAACAGCGGCTGCTTCTTTGCGGACGACTGCGTTGAATCCGTTGACTGGGTCAGCGGTGTAGTCGACGGTACGTTTGGTTCCATCAGCATCGATGAGGGAATAGCTGCCCTGAACAACATCTCCATCACGGGTTTCCTGTTGACTTTTTGCGTCACCGGTCAGACTATCATGCACATCGTAGGCGTAACTGTATTGAGGATGAGGATCATAGTCGGCATCGACTGTTTTGGCTACCACTGCCTTAGCCACGGGGGTGGCGACCACTGTCTTGGCCACTGGAGCAGCAGCTAGTGGAGCAGAGTAAGCTAAGGGCACACCAGGGGCGTAAGTTAAAGGTTGGGTTGGGATGAATCCAGCATTGGCACTGGCTACAAAGATAGCAAAGACGATGAACTGAAAGAATAAATATGTAAAACGATTAGTGACATAATTATTATTTGGTTGCTATTTATTGACGAAATATTTGAGTTTTATTAATGGAGAAATAATCAGACTTACTGATTATATTGTCGTATAAGTCAATCATATACCAACCTTGAAGGCCATTGTTGAGAAGATTTGGTTAACTTGATTGGATCGACTGAGCGACTGATGATGCCCAACGTTATTTCGGACTGCTTTATATACCAACGATCGGTCTGCTATCATTATGCTCCCCACCAAATTTTTCAGGTTTTGCCAGACTTTCAAAGTTTGGTAACAGATCGCATCAGTATTATCGTACTTGAACTTGGCCTGTACATGGGAGGAGCATTCTTAGAGCACCATATGTTCACTTTTAATTATATTTAATGATCTCTTTATAAATAAGTTAAAAATAAAATATTATCAAGATATTGATTATTAATAACTATATATAAATAGTTATGTTTGACAATAAAAATAATTTCTCACAAATTAAAACACATATAAGATATATAGATTTTAATAATTTCTAATTCTAATTTTATCTTTTGAGAAATTCAATTAAATCTAAAATAATAATTAATAAATAATTCGATAAAAACTTTTTTTATTGAAACATTGAAAAAATGTTAATGATATTTTCGGAAAATTTTTTCATTTTTACCAATTTTATTTTATACAAAATTCTTTATATATTATGCAATATTTTAAGTAATAATTTATTAGTAATATATATTTTAAGTAAAGCCTTACTTACGATAATCAATCAACTTTCCTAAATATCGTCGCGATACATTTTAAATTTATCATAAATATCATTATATATTATCATATATTATCATAATTTCAAATTTATCAAATATGTAATATTGTAATTAGTAATTTCATTTTTATATGACACATAATTTAATTTAAAAAAACTGAATTTTCTAAAAATTTTATATATATATTGAGATTTTTTTCTGGTATACTTTTTTATTTAATGTATTTTATGATTTTTTTATATTATTTTTTATATTATTAAAAATTACTTTGATTTAAAAATCATATATTTATATATTTTCATATTCAAATATTATATTGTATTTTATTGGCTATTTTATTTTATTATTATACCATTTTATTATCGTGAAAAAATCTATTTATAACAATCATTAATTCATAATTCTTATATCAGAATAAAAAACTTTAATCTGTTTATAATAATAATTTTCATTCTCTTTAATAAAAAAATAATCGATTATACAATGTTAATTAATATTAATTAAATGATAATTAAATTATTTTTAATTATCATTAATTAATTTAATTATACAAATAAATAATAAATATTTTATAAATAATATTTATAAAATAATATTGATTAGTTTTTCAATTTTTATTACATCTATCATTCTTTTTATAATAATTTCAATAATAAATATCATTACTATGCAAAATTCTGTCTTTAAGAAACCTTGTTTGGTTCAACGATCTTTTAGAACATTTTTCGAATGTAAATTGAAAGAAGTACATGAACATTGTGTGGCCAAAGCCACATGTAGTTCAACAATTGAATATTAGACTATCAAATTCGCCACAATAACAGTTTCAGATTTTGTGCTTTTAAAACGGGTATTTCAAGTATATAAAATGCTTTTGGTTTTTGGCAAAAATTAATATTGATTTTTTATTGAAAATATGTTTGTATATATCTATTTATATAGCATATGCATTCAACTATATTTATAATTTATAATATTTATTCAATATTTTTCCATTGAACGAAATAAAATGAATGAAATATATCATATATATATATATATATATATGATAGTATATATATATACTATCAATATATACACGAAACAATTTAGAAATAGAAATAATTGATTGATACTATTCAAATTTTTATTACACTTTATATAATTTCATATCAATTTACATAAATTTTCAAACTTTTACAGAATTCTTTAATCCTATTAGTTATAATTAAATGAATGAAAAAAATATCATTAAATATACATTTCTCGTGATATCTATAAATTCATCACGTGTTAAAGCTCGGCAGTACCATTTCATTTCGAAAATTCCGGCATTTTCGTTTTCAATGAGCGACACTCATTGAAATTCAATGGTATCAGGTGTAAATCGATTTTCTAAATTTCTCCGAATTTCGAATGAATCGAAATAAATGAAAGCAGGAAGAAGAAAAAAAATAGAATCAATGGATACCAGCTGATCGCGAAACTTTCGAGCAATATGTGTCAAATTGGCTTGGATCCCGATCTTGATCATTGCGTCACATCTAATGTTACTGAAGAACAGAACTGGTTCACTTTCATAAAGAAAAAATAGGCGGATCTAAATCGCAAAGCCCATTTTAGATTGATCGGATAGCCTCTGGTCATCAAAATGTACCTATCTTAATCCAAAATTGAAATTTCTACATTTAAGTAAAAGCTTTGCTCGAAATACTATTGTCTTGTAGTTTACGTGAAATCAATGTCACAACTTGTATTTAGGTCTTCCGTATTTGTTGCGCATTGACCACTGGAATTTTAATAACTTTTTCCATTTTTTCTCTTTTCAGATTTATTTAAATTTATCTCTTTAATTGCGGACTTCAGAAAATTGTTGGCATCGTTGAAATATTGTGAAACACATTTAAATTTTGGTTTCTTTTAAAAAGATTAAAAGTAACTTTTTAATATTGTCATCGTTAAAAAGAGAAAGAGAAATCTTATTTGTTTATTTTCTTGGAAACAATAAGCATTTTTTATTTCTGAAACGTTGAACTATATTATATTAATATTAACTATATTATAATTTTCAAATAAAAAATGAAGGTTTTTTTTTATATTTCTTAATAATATATTAAATAGTATAAATATAAGTTTTTAATCTTATTATAAATAACTATCTATAACATATATAACTATATATGTTAGAATATTAATTTTTTTAGTCGAATTATTATTATTTATTAGTTTTTTTTTTAGTGAAAAATAAATTATTTAATAAATAATTGATATTAAATTTATTTTAAAAATAAAAAATAATTTATCAATATAATTGAGATATTTTATTAAAATATTAAATATTATTCAATTTTTTTACAAAATGAATTTTTCAATAATCTTATAAGTAAATTTTAAAAGCAATAATGTGCATGTAAATATTTATTTCTATATTTACTTTTTTATTTAAGTTTGATTTATATTTTTATTTTTTTCTTAATAAAATTAATAATAAAATAGACATTATGAGTAAATTACAATTAGATATTATTTGTAATTTTTGTAATTAAAAATAATTAATTTTGATTTATTTGTAATATTTCTTGTTAACATTAATTATTTTTAAACAAATTAAGAAAATATTCATTCTATTTGAAGAATCAATAAAAAATTTTAAAAATAATCTTATGTCATACATATAAAAATTTACTTGTAATATAATTTTTCCTAAAATCATTTTATTTTTCATCATGTATTTATTAATCATTTTTCATCATGTTATTATTAATAATAATATTAATATAATATAATATAATATAATATTAATATAAATTATTAATAATAATATTAATAATTATTAATAATTAATATTATTAATATTATTTTCTTTGTATAAATAAATTTTATTATATACAAATTATTTACACTTATACACTTTTTATATTATTAAATTAACGATAATTACGAACGAAAATTTATTTGTACTATGATAATTTTTGAATATCTACTTACTTGGAAAAAAATATTCTTTTTTTTGATTTACCAAATATATGAAATATGATATTATAATACTAATTATAATAATAATTTGAACTATTTTCTATCATATTATATTTTTTATCTACATTCTATATTTTCTATTTGTGAGTAAATATCTAGAAGAAAAAAGAAATGTACGTAGAAAATCAACGAACAATCAAGATGTAAGCATTTACGTTACCAGATTATGTTATTAAAAAAGAGAAACAAAAACAAAATATGCATCAATCTAATAGACTAATAAATTAATATAATAAAATTTGCTTGTATACCTAAATTAATTGTGCAAAATCCGATCAGTCTTACGTCAACTTCTTACATCATCGGTGTGCAACTTCGTTTTCTTCTTATTTTTTCATACCATGAAAAAACCAGTTGATTCTACCAATTATGGAAGAACTCAAGGTCATAAGATAATTTTTTGTGTATTATTGATCTATAATAAATCAAATGATAAATAGTTTGTTCGTTCAAATTATAAATATTATTTTCGTGAAACATGTGTCCTAAAAATTTTAATGATTGTAAACTCAAGATATTTTCTTCAACGTTGAATGATTTCAAAATAGATTTTTCGAATGAAAATGAATTCTACGATAATACATGGTTTTTAATTTATTAGAATATTTTATTTTATCTCATTGATAAAAATTCATAACATCTATATAATATAATATTATTAGATATTTCATAATTGCTTCATAATTACTTAATGCTTCATAAATTACTTAATATTCATGATATTTATTATATTAATGAAATAATTATATAGTTATAATAAAGATAAGATTTTCTGAAAGAATTTTTAAATTCTTATAAGTATGAATTGCAAATGAATTTAATTAGAATTATGAGATTATGTTATGACTTATAATAAATGATAATAAAAATTATATATAAATATTGTGGACAATTTTATATTCTTAAGATGATTTAATATTATTATGAATATCATTAATATTTAAGTAAAATGGTTAAGAATATTTTTTAATATTTTAATTTTAATAAAAATATTTCTTTTTAATTTATTAAAAGCACGTAAAAGAATTAACATTAAATTATAAGTATCAAGACATTTAATATTATCAAAATATTATATTTGAAATTTTTGAATTCAAGTTTAAAAATTTTATCGTGTTTAAGAAAAAAATGAACTATAATTAAAATAATTTAATATTTTTTTCATTTTATTCTTTTCTTTTTATTTTTCTTTTTGAATACTATATGTTTATATTTTGAATATATGTATAAATAAATATTAATAGTTTATAAAATTTGAGATATCTTGATATTGTTCTATTTTAAGCAAATAAAATATTTCTATTATTATTTTATATCATTATATTTATAAATTATCTATATTAAATTAAAGGAAAAAAAATTTTAAAAAACAATTTATCTTTATCTTATTTTTTTAAATCTTTTATTAATAACAGTCATTTAATTAATTTTTCAATTCAATTATTTATATTAATATTTTTACCTTTATATGATAATTAAAAAACTATTATATAGAATAGAATAATTAATAATCACATTTTATTTTAATTTTATTTATAATTAATAGAAATTGAAATTCAGTTTTATGTAAACATAATTAATAATTAAATAATACTATTAATATACTACTATAATTATACTATTACTTATACTTATAATATTAATTTATATACTATTATATTATTATGCTATTATACTATTAATTAATAATATTATTAATTTTTATAATATCATTAATAGATACTTTAATATAATATATAAATAATTATATAGATTTTATTTATATAAATAATTAAAATATTCACATAATATAAAATGATACTGCATGAAAGAATTGCACAGAATGGTTCTATTTTAAAAATATTAGATATTTTTATATAAAGAATTCCATGAATATTAATATAAACGAATATATAATATTATATATCTATGTTATATATAATAACATTAACGTATAATTTAATTTAATTTTTTTCTTTATTTTTAAAAAATTAGACATATAACATTTTAATATAATGCAAATACAATTTAAAAATATTATATTATATATTTTTAAAAAAATTATTTACTTTCAAATGAAATTTTCAAAGATTCAAAAAAGTGAATTTATGAAAAGTTCTTTAAAATAAATAACATTCGTTCAAATTCTTTTAAAAATATTCGAAAAATGCGAATATTTTTTTTCAAAAAGATTCAAAAAAGTGAATTTATGAAAAGTTCTTTAAAATAAATAACATTTGTTCAAATTCTTTTAAAAATATTCGAGAAATGCGAATATTTTTAAAGTATATAAATGTTAAATTAAAACGATAAATTAAAATTTTATTAACAAAATCTAAATTTTATTTGTATAATTTCTTTATTATCATTATTGATTTTACCAAAAATATATAATATTTTAATAAATAAATTATTAGAAATAATCAAGTAATAAATAAATTAATTAAAAATAAATGCAAATAATTGCATAATTTTAATTGGCGCTTTTTATATATTTTAAATATCAAAAAAAGAAAAAAATAATATAATATAAAACACAAATATAAATGCAAAGAAAAGATAAAGAGAAGAAAATTGATAACATGTTTCCCTCGAAGAGAAGTCCAAGGAAGAATTAAGTAACTCGTGACAAGGACGTGGTCTAATCGACAGACACAGTGTTCAATGATGGTCCAACGACTATCGTTGTCGATCGAATTGTTCATATTGGGCGTGGTCCGATTTCTTGCTCAATTTTATGCCACTCTGCGGCCGCAAATCGGGTGACCGTCGAAGATACCGTCACCCAGTTACGTCAGCGTGCCCGTGGGTCCTGGTCGCATGGTATAAAAGCCGAAAACCATCCGTCTATGGTATCATTCGCATCACAGACAGACAGATCGAGAGATCTTCCAATCAAGCAAGCTACAATGGTTTTCAAGGTATTATGAATTCAGGAATAATAGTAATTTATTTTGAAGACATTTTTTCATTGTAACTATCAAAACATATCTCGATGGCTAAAAACAAAATTTTTCATATTATTTCATACTTATATTTATAATTTTTTATCAATTAACACAATAGAATAATTATAGAGTAATTATAATTTTAATTATATTTCTTTTTTTCTTTATCTTTCTTTTTTTCTTTCTGAAATCCAAATTATTCGATATATGTATTTAACAATCTTTTTTTTATTTTATAATCACAATTGAAAGTATATATAATATAATCTCAATTTTAATAATTATAATATAGTGAATTTAATAACGTCATTTTCATTATCTATTTATGAATCTCAGAACAAAGAATATTTATATTAATCCATTCTAAATAAAATTTTTTTTATTCTGCATAAATTTGTCTATTTAACAAAATAATTTCAAAAAACAAAAAATTCATTTACAGTTCATTGCTCTCGCTGCTTTCGTAGCATCTGCTAAGGCTGGATTCATCTCGACGGAACCTTTGGCATATGCTCCCAGTGTGCCCTTAGCTCCGTTAGCGGCTGCCCAAGTAGCCAAGACAGTGGTTGCAGCTCCTGTAGCTAAAGCTGTGGTAGCTAAAGCTGTGGACGCTGATTTTGACCCTCATCCTCAATATAGTTATGCTTATGATGTACATGACACGTTGACTGGTGATGCCAAAAGCCAGCAGGAAACCCGTGATGGAGATCTTGTTCAGGGTAGTTATTCTCTCATCGAAGCCGACGGAACCAGACGCACTGTCGATTACACCGCTGATCCAGTCAACGGATTCAATGCAGTTGTACGCAAAGAAGCAGCTGCCGCTGCTCCAGTTGCGTATGCTGCCCCAGTAGCAAAGATCGCCGCAGCTCCAGTTGCCTATGCTGCTCCAGTAGCAAAAATCGCCGCAACTCCAGTTGCCTATGCCGCTCCTGTTGCTAAAATCGCCGCTGCTCCAGTTGCTTATGCTGCCCCAGTCGCCAAAGTTGCCGCTGCTCCACTCGCCTATGCCACACCCGTTGCCAAACTTGCCGCTGCCCCCGTCGCCTATGCTGCTCCAGCCCCAGCTTTAATCCATTGAATCCGATCTGTTGTTTTTAGGAATAATGTTTGTCGAATAAAGTATGGTATTTTTTAGCAAGTACATAAAACGATTGTCCAATTTTTTTCACTTCCATATTTTTTTTTGCTTTGTTTTTATTAATTTATAAACTTTAATATTTTCTCCTTTGAATTTTTTCAATAATAAGATATTTGATGATTATATGCATGCGCCATATTATATATTAATCATTTAATGATACAAGTTGATACAAATAATTAATTAATATTCTTTATTTACTTTATTTATTTTTTATTTATGTTATACATAATACGATCAATTCGAAAAAGAATAAATTATTGTCAATATATAATTATAATTTACTTTCAAGTTTTAGAAATGTTTTAGAAATTATTAATATGATCTAAAATATGTATATATTTTCGATGTATATATATCGATATATATTACTTTTGATAGTAATCGATTAATCGATTAAATTTATAACGTTGAAGAAATTTAAACGAAAATATTTTAAAATTTCAAATTTGTATATGTACACAAGTATTTGTAAGCATTCATATTATATTTTTAACATGTAATAAGAAATAAATGTATAATATATAATAGAATAAAATATTATTAAAAAAAATTATAAAAGAATAAAATAAAAAAGATTAAAGAATTTATAAAACAAATTTGTGTCAAAATATTATATGAAATTAAAAAAATATACGAATAATTACAATAAATCTTATATTCATATTTTCAATTTTTTTTTTATCGTTCGTTAAAGAGATAGTTTCATTAACAATTCATGAGCAATCATTGGTCTCCAATACTTTCTCTGCCAGTGCCAATGTTACTGATTACACAATATAACAATACTTCCATACGTACCATTGATGTGTAATGCACGTAATATGAGCCATTGCGTTAATCGGAAACTTCAAGCGAACCAGATTTACAAATTGATCTACTTATAATCCGACATATACTCTTTTGTAAATATTTTTACAAGTTTATTTACTATTCATTAATTATAATAGTATTTATAATTAAGGAATTATTATATCGTTATAGTGAAGCAATAATCTATCAACACTTGAAAGGAGAAAGAAGGAGGAAGGGAAAGAGAGAATAAAAATATATATATATATATAATTTTCAAATTAATTTTATTTAACAAAATTATAATTATATATATATTATACATATAAAAATATATTTTGCACTATTTATATATTTATATGTATTTATCTATAAAAATATTTCAAAATTAGATATTTTAGATATATACTTTCATGTAAATTGATTAAGATTTGTCCTTATTGTATTTGTAATTCTAATAATCATATAATCTAATTAATATAATAGAACAAGCATTATTTTTTAAAATCTAATTATAAAGTATTTTGTCTTTTAATCATAACTATAATAATGTATATTAATATAATATTCATAAATAATAATATAAATCATATTTTAAGAAAAAATTGGTTTGTTTTGTTTTTTTATTCTTGATTTCCTCTTACTGGAGAAGCTAGCCTAAAAATTATTAAGTATTAGTATATAAATATATTACATAAAAATTATTCGTTTTATTTATTCATTTATATTTCAAAAATATTATATTTTATTAAATTAAAATTATATAAATTTAATTATTATGATTAATTTAAATTTACTTATGTATTGTTACATAATCTTCTGCAAAAACATTGGATGTATCTAAGGGAGTCAAAAAAGTGAATTGACTTTGTGGATGTGTTTTAGTATGATCCAAAAGAATATCCATTATGACTCGCCGATTTACTTTGTCCTGATTAAAATAATAATTAGTATTATATTAAATATTGATTAAAAAATTATGTTTATAAATATGTACGTACCATAAAAACATCAAATTCATCAAGGAAATAGAAAGGTAAACCAGTACAATCCCAAAGAGCTAAAATAAAAGCGACAGTCGAATATGATCTTTCACCGCCTGATAATGATCTTGCATCATTCATTGGTTTTTTATTATCGTTTGGCGAATGTATTTCAAGTTCAAGTACTTTTCGTGCGTGATCAATTTTTATAATCCCCTAATAAAAATAATTAAATTAAAAAAATCTTTTTTTTTAAATAAAAATTATTCATACATACTTTTTTATTTCGTAAAGCGAGAACATCTGAAAATGAATTTCTAATATTTTCTCCATACTTTTGTTTCATATTAGAAAATAAATCTCTTCGAGTTTCTAGTCGTTTTAGATGTAACTGTATATATATATATACACATAATAATTCAATAAATGAATAAATAAAATTATATATTATTAAATATTATTATTAATTTTTATAAATATACTTACTTGATAATTTTTCTCAATTTTGGAAGCCAAATGTAAATCTTTGCCACATTTTGCTTCCTTTTCTTTTAATTCTTTACGTAATTCTTCAATAGTACCGAATTGTCGTTCTATTTCAAAAATTTTATTTTTTAAATCTTTAGATAATCTTTCAAGTTCGTTAATTGATCTGAAAAAATATTAAATTTTGTTTAATATTAAAAAATTATTTTAATATTTCTAAAAATCTTTTAACTTGCGATATTTTTTTATTGACCTTGATGTATCTATTCTATTGCATCGATCTGTAGCATCAGATACAGCTTTGTTTGTACATCTTTGTTGTTGTTCAAATTCAGCTGCTGCATTCTGTAAAGCTTGATGTAATGTCTGCAGTTTTTTTGCAGTGTAACGTGTCTTTACATGCAATGCTTCTTTTTCATTTTCCAATTCTTTTATATTTTCCTATATGAGGAATAATATATATTTAATAATATATATATAATAAATAAATCATGATTTTTACATACTTTCAAAGGTATAATTTTCAAATCTAAATTTTGTCTTAATTCTCTATGGCGTTTAATTTCTTCTTCTAAAGATTCAACTATTTTTTGACATTTGAGAACACTTTTATTCAAATTTGCTTCTTCATATTTTTCTTCATGTAATTTTTTTTCTAATTCATTTAATTCATTTTTCTAATATAAAATATATATAAAATATAAAAAAAATTATTCAACATTAAGATATTGACTATTAATACATTAATACATAAATATTTAAATATAACTTACAAACACTGTTACAGATATAGTTTCGTTAGCTTCAATTTTATCTTTTAGATCATTAATTAATGATTTATATTGATTTTGAATAGCATGAAGTTTTGTCACATTTGCACTAACAGAGCTTAATTCAGAACTTGTACGTTTTTCTTTTTCACAAGCTATTCTATATGCTTTTGTAATAGTATTTTTTTCATTATCTATTATACGAATTTCTTCTTCCAATGCACTAATCATAAAAAATAAAAAATTTTATAAAATTCAAAATAAAAATAAAAGAAAACATAATAAAAGATCTTACTTAATAGTATCTGTAACAGAAACTTGAAGAAATCTAGCTTTTAAACCACGCGATCCACCATAACTTCTATAATGTGGATCTGGATAAAACATATCACCTTGTTGAGTAAAAGCTCTTTTGCAATTTCCTGGAACTTTGGAAACATCTGACATGATTTCAGCTGCTTCTTTACTAGTTGGAATTAATAAAACACATTCAATTTCACGTTGATCTATTAAACAATTAGCTACAACTGGATCTGATATATCCATTGCATCCAAAAGATTAGAAAAATATGGTGATCTAGTACAATGTGCACGAACGTCATGAACCTAAAAATATTAACTTTATGTTTTTAATGTATTATAATTTAAATTTTAGAAATTAATTTTCTTACAGCATTATAAAATTTACTGCATATAATCTGTGGAGTTCTTTCATTCAAATAAATTTCTTTCATAATGGCATTTAATACTTTGGCATCATGACTATTGTCTACACAAAATGTACTAAAAGTATTTGCTCCTAAATAACTTTCAACAGCTGGAGCCCATATTGGATCTTTCATTTTTATATATGCCCCTAAATGTAAATAAAAACATATAATAAATTAAACAATTATTTATATTAAATTAAATAAATTTTATTTATTTAATTTAATTACCAAGTGGACCTCGTGGTTTTTCTTTAAAATTTCCATTACTATATTCCTCTTCAATTCTTCTCAAAAGACGTGGTATATTTCGACCAAATATAGTTAATATATTATCAGAATATTTTTTCCTTGTATTTAAATCTAACTTAATTCTCTCTTAAATAGAATTGCATATTATTTATATTATTATTCTTTATAATTAAATATATTATAAAAAAAAATGTATATAAAATTTATTATATGAAAGATAAAAAGAACATGAATAATAGAATAAGAATAACGATATATTATTAAAAAAATTGTTTGCATAATATAATATCTTTGAATCATTTTGTTAAAATATTTTTTTTTTTTATAACTTTAATCCCTTATTAGGCTAAATAAATAAAATATTTTATATATAAATATTGTGATATTTACCTATGCGTTTTTCACAATTATTGATTTCAATTTTTGATGCTTGAATTTCTTTCAAAAGACGCATTTTATCAGTTTCTAAGTGCATTTGATAAGTTTGCTTAGTCCTTAATAATGCTTCAGTTTCATCTAATTTTTGTTCTAAATTAATTAATTGCTGTTTTATTTGATTTTTTTCATTTTGTTCTGTATTATCACCACTAAAAATAAAATATGTAATAGTGTAAAATATATGTTATATATTATTACATATATAAAAGAATCATGTTAAACCTTTCCAATCGTTGAATTTCTTTTCGAAGTGTAATAATATCATCTTCTAATCTTTTAATTTTATTTTGAATAGAACGCCATTCTCGTACTTTTATTGAATGTGTATTTTTGTTTATATTATATTCTTGTTTTGCTTTATTATATATTTCAAAATTATTATTAACTTCCTCTTCTGCAGATTTAATTTCTTTTTTCAATTTTCTATGAATAAAAAAATAAACATAATATAAAAAATATAAAAAGTTATCAATGGAATATTTTATAATAAATTATGATATGTTTTTAAGTGGTAAGATCGGATATCTGGTCTCAATAATAATTTATTCAATGGATATGAATATATATTTTAAAAATATTACTTAAAAAAATATATTTTTTTTTCAGAAAAGAAAAACTTATATAAATTTACTTTTTGTAAATTTACAAATGAATTATTAAAGAAAAATAATGAATGAAATAAAAATTTTTTTTCTATTCAAGGAGATATATAAAAATAATGATTTAAACAATTCATACTGAATATTTTTATTCATTTCTTCATCTTTTGATTCTGCAGATAATTCTGTGTCTTGAAGTTGTTTTAAATTATCTTCACATTTTTTCAAAACTTCTTCAACCTTTCGCAATTTGATTTCTTCAGATATAGCCTACATAATAAAACATATTATTCATTAAAAAATAATGTTACTTTATAACATTTTCATATACTAAAAATATAACTTACAATTGCCCAAAATAATTCCATTTCAAGTGTAATTACTTCATTACGGAATTTATCGATTTCTTCTGCTCTTTTTATGTTTATTTTAAGTTGTTCTACTTCTTTTCTAGCTTCTGATAAAATCTAAATTTTATTATTTAATATATGAAATGAAAAAAATAATAATATAAAAAATATAAAAACATAAATAAATATAAAAACATACTTCGTTATATTGTTTCAATTTTTCATATTCTTGTTCACATATCAATTCAGCTTCTTTGTAATTATTACCAATAATATCTAATAATGTTGCCTTCATAAATAATTCATACTTTTCTTCTGGTTTGGATGATACTAAAAATGTTCTTGATATATCTTGATTCAATATAGAAATAGGATTATCTATTTGAATATTCATTGCTCGTAATATATTAATTAATTCAGTTCGTTTTGTTGAAACCACTTCTCCTATATAAAATTTGAAGAAAATTTATTTAAATATAAATTAAAATAAAATTAATCAATAAAATGTAAAATGATTTTATAAACCTTTCCAATTCTTTAATTTATAAAATGATGTAGTTCCAATACTTCGAAAAACTATTATTGAATCACCATAAATATCAGGTTTATATGCCATAGATCCTTTATTAAATAAAGTTACTTCAATAGTTGCCGTATTTTTTCCCTTTTTTATAAAGCCTAAATATAAAAGTATTAAATAAAATAAAAGTAATAAATAAAATAAAAGTATTATATTGTAAATATTATATATTTACGTTATTACTTATTATAATTTTAAAAAAATATAAAAAATATTATTTATAATATATTATAATATAATATATATAATATATTTATACTTTTCACAGATGCTCCACGACTAGTAACATTTGCTCTAGCACCAAGACCAATTGTTAAAGCTGTTAATATTGCACTTTTACCACTTCCATTACGACCAATAATAAAATTTACATTTGGATTTAATGTCACTTCCAAAGCATCATGACACATGAAATTTCGTATTAGAATTTTCTTTATTTTTCCTGTTTTACACTATAAAATATATATTTATATATATATAATATAAAGATATAAAAATAAAAGAATTTAAAAAAATTAAATTTATTAATACAATTAAAATTAAATAAAAACATAATATTATATCATTTTTTAATTATTATTAATTTTTTATTATATATACTATAATAAAATTTTATCATATACTATAATAATATGTACATTGTTATATGTATACTGTTATTATATTATTATATATTATAACTATTATAATATTATATTGTAAAATATAATTTTATATTCGTATTTAAAATATCACGAATAATATTTAGAAAAACAATTATCTTCAATTTTCTTTAAAAAATTATATTAACTCTTAACCACTTACTTCTTCTGTAAAATGAAAAGTATTCTCTTTTTCTTTTATACGTTTAGATTGAAATTCATCTAATTCTGTAGATTTTCTTTTTCGTTCATTGTTTATATTATTTTCCATGATTTCAAAAGTATTTATGATCTAAGTACATATAGATTATATATTTATTCAAATAGCCGCGCAATATCAAGTGTCATAAACCAGCATTCTTACAAACATTGATTTTATTATTTATGAACAATCTTGAATCATTATAGAAATATTATATTCTTCATTTAATCAAAATATTGTAAATTCTTCTATTTATAACTTAATTGCTTCAACGTTTTTCAAGGAATATAACTACGATGTACGTGCATTTCCCGCCAGAGAACACTATGCACTTATTCAAGTTTTATTGTCATTATATATAAAATAAATAGATACTCTCCTAACTTTATAGCATTGATACTTTGTATCCATTTTTTATTTCAACCAATAGTGACAACTAAAAATCCTTATATAATCATGAGATTAAATTTTAAAAAATTCGAATTAATAAAAATATATGAAATTATATAAATGTTATTAATTTAATTAATAATATATTAAAATACTTATTAATAATATAATAAAAATAAATTAAATAAAAATTTTCTTAAAAATTTTTTCAAAATGTTTATAAATAAATAATAAATAAAATAAATAATAAAAATATTTGCATTAAAAATTTTATATTTCAAAATAATATACTTTATTATATCGGAATTCAAATTAATTAAGAAGCTAAATTTTTATTCAATTCATTTGAAGAATAAAAATACTATTGAGAATAAAAATACGTGCTAAATTTGAATTACTTTTCATTAAATAATTCTACTTTCATTAATAATTCTAAAATTACTTTCATTAATAATTCTAAAATGATTCAATTAATTATATATTAATTATTTATTAATTATATTAAATATATATTATATTATTAATTATATTAAATATAATAATTATATATAATAATATAATTATTTATTCGATAAGAATATGAATATATTAATCGAATAAATTGAATATATTATTATAAATATTTAGCAAAAAATATATGTATTAACCTTTTTCTTGCAGCCGCTTGTTTTGAAAATATTAATTTGCAATACAATTAAATAATAATTTTATAGCCATAAAACAATTAAATTAAAACATGATTTAATTTGAATTGAATGTAGATTATTTATAATACATACAATGTAAATTCTTCATCATCAATATAAAACACAATTTGAATTTAGCGCCTGTTCTTAAATTATAAACCTAAAAGACAATGTCTAGTTCCTTGAAATTGAAATAAAAGACGAAAGAGGAATTAATATCAGCCATTTTGTTCAGCAATTGATAAAAATCTCTTTTTGATAAAAATCTGATTACTTATATAATGTGGTTTACATATGTAATGTCATTATTTTTTATTATTTTAAAGCATCTTTCATAAAAATGTAAATATTTATCGCAATATGACAGATGGCAGTTAGTTTTGATATTCAAAATAGCTAACAATCATTTTCAAATATTCTTTAATGAAAATCATAAATTATGAATCATATTATTTAATAGTCCGTACAAAATTATTCAGCTTCATAATTATTCAAGTTAATACTCATAGAGTATTAAATTGCTCAATAAAGTATGCGAAATAATTTTCAGTTGTTAAGATTATTTTATTATAAACTGAACTCATTTGATCTTAGTTATTTATAACATAAAAATATTTTAAACATAAAAATTTCTTTTTTGAAGAAATTTCTGTTCTAATTTTCCTTTCCAGATCTAAGATTTTCTTTCAATTTTATGGTTTGATAGTAAATCATGTTTTCTTTCATTAGAAAAAATATATCAATTCTCTTCTTTTAAGAGTTAGGAATGGAAACGTTTCATCATCGTACTTGAGAGTAGGAAGGAACTGTACAGGATTCAGGCAGGAGATTTTTTAACGGAATTTACTGTTTATTATTGCACTGCAAGCAAGCTAAATTTGTATCTTTTCAAAAATTTAAAAGTTATTTGTAATTCGCTAAACTTCTATTTATCACAACAACAACTAAATTCAAAATTTTCAATAAATTTCGTGAATTCTAACTTTTTTTTTATTAGTATATTATTCGTATCAATTATTCAAAATATTATGTAACATATTATTTCATAATTCATATTTCATAATATAACAAATAAAATTTTGCTTTCAATTCATCATCGATGTTATTTATTATTAAAGCCGATGTGTAAAAACGTAACAATCGAAATACAACCTATCTCTTAGATATATATATATGAATTTCATTTATATGAACAAAATTTTAGATAGTGCCTGATTATCTGAGCTCTTATTATTTAAATAAACCGAATATTCGTCTATATATCTTTATAATATAATATAATTAAAAATATACATTATATCTATAATATAAAATAAATAAAAAATTAATTTATTAAACATTAAATAAATTAAACATTATATTTGCAAAATTATACTTTATATTTATAATATTTGACATTATTATATTTTAGAAAATTCTTTTATAACATAAACTTCTACTTATTGAGCGAAAAATTAAGCTGATAGAGAAATTAGATAGACTTCTATTATATAAAGTTTATAGTTAAATTATATAAACATGTTCCCCTAAATTCATATAAAGTTTTACATATACTGTATATTTAGATATACTGTATATTTAGATATGATTGGTATATAAGAATTTATGATGCCAACTTTTTGTATAAGTTAAATTGAAATGTATAACGGAAAATATGATGTTACTCATTTATGGGCAAAAGATAATGTTAAATATATCTATTATAAATAAATATATATAAATTATTTGTCTATTTTTTCTCTATATATTATTCACATTATTTTTATAAAACCGAAATATAAAATAATTATAAATAATTATTAAATTGTTAAAAAACAAATACAAATTATAAATTGAATATTTTCAACATTTCAATTAAAATTTAATTTTTTCGAAATTATAATTTTTAAAATATATTATAATGAATATAATTTGAAATTATAAAAATAAAAAATTAACAGATAATAAAACATATATTTATTTTTTTAGATTTAACAATGATTAAATTATATTTCATAAATATTTACTTTAATTTATTTTGAAAATCTCCATCATTACTTTGCATATTAAATGATACGTGACATTGTATATCATCAAATTCAATGTGATGACAATGTGAAAAAGTCATGACATTTAATTTCATGACTGTAAAAGTCAAACTTTTTTTCGCGTGAAAATATATTTTATATATATTTCAATCATATTATTTTATTCAAATAGTTTTTAAAATAGTTTTTTTCTTTTTCTAATATTTCTAAATTAGAGTTATGATATTATATTCTGTAAATTTAAAGCTTTTATTTGACAATTCTTCTACATTATTGTTAATTATTTTATTCTACATGTTAACAAATCTATTTAGATTCTATATAATAATAAAAAGATTATTATTTATCTTATTATTATTATTATCTTTATTATTACTATTATTATTATTATTATTATTATTATACTTTATTATTACTATTATTATTTATCTTTATATTACGAAAACATTACGAATACATTACGAATACATTACGAGTTCTGATATCTAATTTATTAATTATATTAAAAATATACATTTTTCCAATCTTTGCACTTCTATAGAAGAAATTTTCGCAGTAATATAATAATATGGACAACATATTGCAAGTGTTTTCTATATTTTATATTTTTTATAATAAAATGAAATTATAATACATATAGTTATATTATATATAGAGAGATTATATTATTATATAAAAATAATTTATTGATATACAAAAAAATACGAGTTTGATTTGATGATTTCTATAATCCAATTCATAGATATATATATATATATATATATATATATATACATATTCAACAACTATAATATATTATCTCTTTTTTCAATTTCAAAAATAAAATTTTAAAATTAATAAAATAGTATTATTATGATTTTGATTAGATTAGGAAAATTGTAATTTCATTATAAGTATTTTAAAATAAAATATTTTTATTTTTATAAAAAAAATTACAAAAAAAATAAATAAATACTATTCCTAAAAAAAATTTATTTTCTACAAAATATTTTGTTATTTATAATGTACATTTTACTGAAAATAATATTATAAAATATAAAAAAATCATAGTTTTTAATGATTTAATTGAAAATACGTTACTTATAGTTCATAACACAAATATATTCAAAAAAATTTATAGAAAACATAATTCTTTTTTTCTTAATTTACCTATTTAAAATTTATATTATTTCAAAGAAAAAATTCTAAAAAATTCAAAATTCTAAAAAATTCAAAACAAAAAAAATATACAAATAAAAATAATATATATATATAAAAAAATATAGCATTTAGTTTTTATTTTTATTAATTTTTATGCATTTAGATTTTCTCCATGAGTTAATATTATCCAAATATATTGCCTTTTATATATCTTATATCTTTCCCCACTACCTGTTGCACAATGATTTAAAGTTTGAATTCGTCGGTTAGAATCACTTGATCTGAGTGCATGATTGTATGCATTGAAGAAAAACAGAATTGGACGTTATATATTACGTGAATTTGAGCTTGTATATTGCAATCTATTGATATGTTAAATATATACTGCAATTTGTGAATATATTGTATTTTAATTTTTTATATTAATTTCCAAATTTTTAAAAAGAAAGTAAATATTATCGTGAAATGAGTGATTCTGGAAGTAATATTAAATATAAATGGACTCCTGAAAGTACTTCATTATTAGTATCAATATGGTCAGATAGACAAGTGCAAAAGCAACTCGAATATGCTTCGAAACCACAATTTATTTGGGAAAGTGTTGCACGATATATGAAAAAAAAAGGCTACAATGTTTCGGGTAAACAATGTCGATCTCGAATGAAACAAGTTTTAGTTTGTTATCGCGAAGCTAAAAGAGCTGGTACTCGAGCTGGAGTAGAACAATATTATGAATCAATAGATAGAGTTCTTAAAAACAAACGTATCGAAGAAAATAATTTTATTGGCATAGATACTGTAGGTAAAGTATAGCGAAAAAAAAATTTATAAATTTATATTATTATCTTTTATTTGATTTATTGACATTTAATTAATGGAAATAAATAATTTAAAATTTAAATTAATCATTTTTGATAGTACATTTCTTATTATTAAAAAAAATAATTATAATTGCATTTTTTTATTAGATGCAACAATAAATGTTAAATCTCCTCCAAAAGAAGTAAAAACAAATAAAAATTTGCAAATGAGACATAAACTTCAAGAACCTGTGCCATCACTTC